GGTTAGAGTTTTGGTTTATGGTAGGTTAAAGTTTTGGTTTAGGGTAGGTTAAAGTTTTGCTTTATGGTAGGTTAAAGTTTTGGTTTATGGCAGGTTAAAGTTTTGATTTATGGAAGGTTAAAGTTTTGGTTTATGGTAGGTTAAAGTTTTGGTTTATAGTAGGTTAAAGTTTTGGTTTATGGTAGGTTAAAGTTTTGGTTTAAATGTAGGTTAAAGTTTTGGTTTATGATAGGTTAAAGTTTTCGTTTATGATAGGTTAAAGTTTTGGTTTAAGGTAGGTTAAAGTTTTGGTTTATGGTAGGTTAAAGTTTTCGTTTATGGTAGGTTAAAGTTTTGGTTTAAGGTAGGTTAAAGTTTTGGTTTATGGTAGGTTTAATTTTCTATTTAAGGTAGTTAGTTCGCATGTTCATTATAATGTGAACTTTTGAAAATATATGTTTAATTAGGGGTTGCCTAAGATTTTACAAATCTCTGAACATGGAATTCCATGATGGAAATATGATACTATGGGTGGGGCATCAGACATATTCTTGTTTGAAGATATTCTTATGTGGTCAATGAACCCAGACATAGTGAAGCATTAGAAGTTCAATTGGCATTATTTGGGTCTCAAATCGTAAGAAAAAATATCTAGAATCTGCTTAAATTTTGGTAATGACCTTTTTATGAGCTATGGAAGTCTTCTTTGAAAAGAAAAGTGGGTGATATGGGGCAAAATAATTTACCCTGTATCGTAGGAAAAAAAACAAGGAATCTGAACATCTGACAAAAATTCCTAAACCTGACCTGACTACATCCTTAAAAGCAGAACTGTGATTGTCTAAGTTAGTTTGTGTTAGATTTATTGGTTAACAAGGATTGGTTAAGGCCATTTATATGGCATTTTACCAAATTTAACATAATTGATGTATTCGGAGGGGTTCCATTCTGACTTTTTTCATATGCAAATCTTTTAAGCTGTACTTGATAGACTTATTATACATGTCATATATATATCAAGAAGTTTTATAGCATGAAATTAAGTTTCTGGAAAAAAAAAAACTTCTGAAACAGCTGATGGCAGATGCATACCTGAAGCGAGGGGGCTAAAAAATACTACTGTAATTTCAGATATTAAAAATGAGTGCATCTATTATTGTGAACCACTAATTACTGGTAAAGATGCGAGTCTAATTAATGCCATTGCAAAAATATTGTAAAGAAAATGTACTACTGAAATTACAAATAAGAGTTTTATTATTGCAAAACTGATTTTGTGGCATTTTTCGCATTAACAGTGCAATACTTTCTGAATTGAAAGTATTAAAGACCAAAGTCAGAGCTTCTTGACCCCAAATAACCCCCTAGGAAGCATCATGGCTACATGCCTGTGATGACTAGTATATTTACATTTGAATGTCTATGTAGATATTTTGACTTTTCATAATATAGTGATATCCAACATTTAAGTAATCCTTTAATTTGTTGTGTTGTATTACCATAACTCTCAGAATGGTATGGATACGAAGTTGGGTACTCACTGGTTTGGTTTGTTGAAGTTCTATCTTTAACATGCCTGATATTTTTGTGCCTTCAAATTCAATTAAAATTCCCTGTGGCAATTTATAGAGGGCCACCAACTGCTACCAAAAGCCTATTCAATATTCATCTAATTAGGAAGCTACATTAAGAAGCTGATGCTTAATCCAACTATCATATGAACAGGACCACCTGTATATTTTTTTGAGTGAAACTTAAGCATCATTTAAAGACTTGTATTTCTCCCTTTATCTTTAAATAATGAGCAAGGGTGTATACCATGTGTCAATAAGCTGTAAAATATACCCTGAGCCTAGCTAGACTGTGAATTAAATTGAAACTCATTAAGTTTGTTTATTATGCGTGATAACTTGGAAAGATTATTGTGTCGATTGACAGCCAAATACATGCAAACATATCCATGCACATTCATAGCCGAAAAAGCCATAACCTATCTTTTTGTGCCTTGGGAACTGTGGGGGAGGGGTTACGTTTTCCAGTCTGTGTGTCCAGATGCCAGTCTATCAGATTAAAGTTTTGGTTTATGGTAGGTTAAAGTTTTGGTCTATGATAGGTTAGAGTTTTGGTTTATGGTAGGTTAAAGTTTTGGTTTAGGGTAGGTTAAAGTTTTGCTTTATGGTAGGTTAAAGTTTTGGTCTATGATAGGTTAGAGTTTTGGTTTATGGTAGGTTAAAGTTTTGGTTTAGGGTAGGTTAAAGTTTTGCTTTATGGTAGGTTAAAGTTTTGGTTTATGGTAGGTTAAAGTTTTGGTTTATGGAAGGTTAAAGTTTTGGTTTATGGTAGGTTAAAGTTTTGGTTTATAGTAGGTTAAAGTTTTGGTTTATGGTAGGTTAAAGTTTTGGTTTAAATGTAGGTTAAAGTTTTGGTTTATGATAGGTTAAAGTTTTCGTTTATGGTAGGTTAAAGTTTTGGTTTAAGGTAGGTTAAAGTTTTGGTTTATGGTAGGTTTAATTTTCTATTTAAGGTAGTTAGTTCGCATGTTCATTATAATGTGAACTTTTGAAAATATATGTTTAATTAGGGGTTGCCTAAGATTTTACAATTCTCTGAACATGGAATTCCATGATGGAAATATGATACTATGGGTGGGGCATCAGACATATTCTTGTTTGAAGATATTCTTATGTGGTCAATGAACCCAGACATAGTGAAGCATTAGAAGTTCAAGAAAAAAAATGTTTTTAATGTCTGGTAGTATTTGTTGCTTTCAATCAGGAAAATTTCATTTTCTATTTTATTCTTATCCACTCAGTGAATTTATTAAGCTCAATGAAGAATAATGTAAGACTTAATTCTGTTTTCATAAAATGAAATTTATTTAACCTTTGAAAACTTGATTGGGTATAATGAACATCTTTTAATAATGCTAGTCCGTGCACATAAACTTCTGGTAAGATTTTTTTATCCTGTGCAGCACAACATAAGCTTCTCCCAATTTGATCAAAGAATGTTCTTTTGATTAATCATAAAGTGCATGAGTAACGGAAACTATCATCTCAATAGAATAGCTGATTATATACGATAAAAGATATTTCATGTCATCACGACTTTGGCCAGTGATTGCTTTCTTTTGAAGACTAACTGAAAGTACTACTCAAGAATATAATTGATATGGGAATCAGGAAGGACCTTTTTAGGTGGAAAGAGACACATACATATCGATCTGTCGTTCTGTTGTTGTTGGTTTTTTTTTTTCATCAGTTTTTTGTTTACATTGATACACATATAGAAAGTAAGGTAAAAAGTCATGTTAAAAAAACCACACACACAAACAGTGTTGGAATAATTTTTATTTATTTAGATGTGCTTTCTCTAAATTTACTCAATTTCCATAATCCTCAACATGTATGATCATCAGTGTTAATTATAGAATGATGTAGGTATGTACAGGCATGAAGAGAAATGCAGTATTGAAGCAAACAACAAGGCAATTATTTTAGTTTAATTGATATCACAAAATCTGCATAAATCTAGCATTTCATTGATTTGTTTGTAAATTATGTGAAGATTTATATCAGTTTAACATGTTAATGTTACCAGATAACCTTAGAACTCCTCCAGGAAGTCTTACTGATTTAATGTCCATCAGCATGGTTCTTTATCTATTTTACTTCCTGGTACTATTATTTTTTTCTTTGATTATCATCATTCTTACATATTAATCATAATTTGTGGCCTAATTATAAGCTATACAAATATTTATATGATTTAAATCATATAATCATATGACATATGCAATAAGATGAGCTTATAGTCTGCCTCCATTCTGCATTGAATTAACTGTTGATTCCTTCACTACTCTTTAGATCATATTGAAAATTATGGTGGAGATTGTTGAACCCAACTGTATTATAAAATCACATTTATACACAGTATAAATTTTAAGCAAAAATCTAATACTGTTAACAAACTTATTTTCACTGATACCTTATTTAGCATTTAGCGCTTTCTAGACCACTTCACAGCGATTTAATTTCGCTATTTTCACATTTACTTGATGTATTTAAAAAGGGCAGATCCAAATTTTATATATTTTCGCGACGATTTATATTGGCGTTATTTTTCTACAGGTCTGTAAAAGTCACGAAAATTAGATGGTTTACAGTATTTTTATTTTGTGTCTGAAGTTTGCTAAATAAAATCCGAATTTGACCAAAATAGGTTAGAAATTTTGTATATTCATCCTGGTCTTGTTATAAAGATTGTCTGTTCAGATACTGATACTGAAAGATAAAATGGCCGTGTTGAAATACTTCAATCCATTGAACAGAGGTTGATATCCAACTTCTTCTTATAAACAGCTATGCTTGATTGTGAGGTGAGCTATTCATCAAGCTATACCTAATAATAATGAACTTTGTGTGACAGATATATTGTCTGGCTAAGGAATGAGTCCAGCTTTTATACTTACATATGAATAATTCATTCAACCTTGAAACCTGATTCTCAAATCAATTTAAAAGGCAATTCTGTATCCCAGATACTGATACTGTACTTAGCTTGGAACTATTTTATCAGATTTTTTAATATTTTGAATTCTTAATTTAATAGTGTAGGTTGCCTTTCAAAATCTCAGTTTTGATTGTGTTATAGAGTTCAAATGAAATGGTATTTGTAAAAAAAATCTTTTCAGACATTTTTACATCAATTTTAGTTTTATGTAGTAATTAAACCATTTTTTAAAACGTTTATGCCACTGGCCTTCTTCAGTTTCTTTATTATTTTTCTAACCTACAATGTAGACAAGTCACTTTCACAATCATTACTTAATACATTCAATTCTCAATACAGTCTGAATAATTGTGAAAGTGACAATTCTACCATGTAGGTTAGAAGGATAAAAAAGAAATTGAAGAATGTCAGTGGCTAAAACGTCTTAAAGATTGGTTTGATGATGTGTTCCCTATTGGAATTTCTAAACAAAAATATCAGTTTAGACAATCTTTTTTTTTCATTTTTAGATGAGGGCAGAAATGCAGTTGATTCATTTGATGGAATGGCTAAGTTGTTGTCTCTTTTGAAGTCAAAGATAAAGAGTGAAGAGGAAGGAGCAGACAGACTCCGTACCATAGCTTGTGGATTTCTTCTGAATCTTACAAATACACATGGTAAAATCACCTAATACTTCAATGATCCCTACATAAGACATTATCTAAAGTAGATAATTGCTTAACTACAGGCTTGTAGGGGCCGATGCTGAAGATAAACTTTCTGACTTTACCTAACACATCTTATATATACTGTGATAATCATAATTCCTTCCATGTGTGTGTCCGATACTATCCCTTTTTTATTGCTTGTTAGTTTTCTACAACTGTAAATTCAGAAATTTTTGCGTGTCTTCATTATTACGATTGTTGACCAATGAACACAATTGCGAAAATTATAATTACAATTTCTGGAAATGCAGCATACAAATAATGCTAATGACATTTAAAATGTGAGTATTTATTTTGTGAAACCTATCCTGTAGCAATTTTGTCAATAATAAAAATCTTGAAAAATTTTTGGAATAATACAGTATGTTTTCTGCTTTTTGGTCAGGTTGTTGTCTCTTTGACACATTCCCTATTTCCATTCTCAATTCCATTTCATCTTCATCTCTTTGATATTGTCTTGTTGCGCTGCTGGGCATTAAACACCAACAATTGATCAATCATCAACAGTTGAACAGGGTTGACACTGACTTAGCTGCCATGAGGTTTAATGAAAGTGGTCAGTATAACTTGTTAAAATGGAAAAAAATTGTTAGTCCTGAATGGTAACTTAGAACCATGGTAAAGCAAGTCTAGCTTTGAATGAAAGTTTTACATTTATCAAATAAGTAGTTTATACATATGTTCTGTATAATTTATTTCCACGTATATAAAAAGTGTCTACTTCTAGTACCGTATCTAGTATTTCCTGTAAAGTTTAATGTACTGAATCCTTAATTACAGAGTCTGCAGACTTTGCTTAATTTGAACATGACCCCGTCACCTATAATACAAGGATATACATGTCATCCAGTATAAATAGTATACATTCTATTTCTGATTGATATACTTACATACTGATATAGTTAGTTAACAGGATTATGGAAAACTTGCTGAACTCATCTAATTCATGAATCAGGGGGAAAAAATGTCGGACCAACACAAAAAACATGAAAATATATATATTTTTTGGTAGATTTACAATATAAAAAAAAAAGTAAACAATACAAATCCTGAACACCTTGATTACAATATTTGAATAGATCATAGACAGAATCCTCTCACCTTTGTACACTCAAAGGAAACTGTAAAACTAGAATTTGACCTTTGAAAATGATATTTCTACTGCTAAATGTTGTTTTTTTATTTTGTTTTGGGGTTTCCTGCTTCCTGTCTCACATATATCTTTGTAGATGCATAATATACGGATTGATTGGTTGTTTTATGCTTAATATCTCAAGACAAATATTTTATGCATTTATGTATGGAACTCTAGTGGTATGCAAGTACTTTGAATAGTTCCTAGGCTACTTACAATAAATAAGAATTTGGAAATTTTTTATTTACATTTTGAACATTGAAGATCAGCAACAAACATAATGAGTTAGCTGAAATATAAAACACGTGTTAAAATGGTCTGGCCTAATGATCTTCAATAATACATTCAAGAACTGACAGAATAGTATACCAATATGTACTACTAAGCATTTACATCACTTCTGATCAGAATATATTAACTGCATAGTACTTTGAATTTATCATACATTCACCAGTAATGTGCCTACAGCAATTCTTTGTCCTATAGTTCTTTGCAGAAAATAAATTATTTTTAATTCTCTGTAAAATAGCCAGGAATTAGTTTCAGTTAATAGTTCTATAGATGTTTAAATCAGACATTATTAAAAAAAAATTGACTTTATTTGACCCTTTTACTGTTTTTATTCACAGTTTCTAAAAGCAAAATGCACATTAAGTGTACCGATGAGTACTTAAGCAACTAGTAAACACATTTGAAGTAACAGTAGACTAATTACTCATTAAAGTATAAATTAGTCCCAGTATTAGTTATATAAATAATCAGAGACCAAAATAGTTACATTATTAAAATTACTAAAGTTCAATATGATACAATAAATAATGCATAAAAATTGTAAAAGGTATTCACATTTTGGGACATGATCTTCTAGAATTGCATATAGCCATATGATCCTGATATATATAGAAATAGATAAATAGATATAGTTAGATATATTATACTTCACGTTAAAATGCCAGATTTTGATTGGCTAATACGAGGGAGACAATTTACTCTATCCCATGGCTGAGCGGGAGACAATTTTTTTGAATGTCACCCTCTTGTGCAGACCAATCAAAAATCAATAGTTTAAAGGATAACAAATTGAATTTAAATCAAATAATTAAAGACAACTCTCAAGTTCCAAGTTTTGGCTCAGAACTTTTTCATAGGCTCAAAATAATAATATAAAAAACCTTGCTAAACTTATGTTGATTTTTTTAACATTGTTATGTACGTGACGTCATAGTAAAATACTTTAAATTTAAAATTCAACAGTAAAAGACAATATTGATAGGACATTCAGTATAATAAATTAAATAACACATAGCTGAGAGGGTGATAGAGCAGATTGGTACCCCTCGAAAAAAGCATTGTCAACCTTGGCTTCACCTCGGTTGACAATGTTTTCTTTGGGTAACAATCTGCTCTATCACCCTCTCAGCTATGTGTTATTTATATAATATCACGTGCAAAAGTTTAATTTCGAGTTTTTGTTTGATATCATATCATAGATAAAAAAAAAGATAATGTTCATCATCATGTACCTGTAACCTGTATAAGAATGATTTTTTTGTGGGTAGAATCAGTCAGTGTAATTGGTCTTCCTATTGAATCCCTAGTTTCACTTTTGCGGCTGACATTCTTTTTGATAATTGAACACGCTGAGCACATGCACAGGCATCTTTAACTGGGGGTGAAATGATGAGTCCCATGCATATGGTTTAATGAACTTGAATTATTGTCATGCAAGTCAATAATGTATCAGTGATTTTTTGGGGCTTTAATATTTTGACAAAATTGATTATGAATAATTATTGCAATTCTTTTCCTGTTAATATTTTCAAAGCAAATAATATTACTGTTAGTGTTTGAATAATAATATTGTCAAAATCTTATTTTATGTCCCTTTAAGTAATAGTTATCATTGGGTATCCAGACATGAAAGAAGGAAAACAATTAAGTGTATTGATGTATTAGATTAATTTAAAAACAGTGTTCATCAGAATGGTGTTCCAGAACAGAATAAAACGAAAAGTTTATCTAAAAGAAAAACAAACATCTTATCAGAACCTCCTAGTCTGTTGATGTTCATCTTAGACCAAATTTGCCTCTAAAATGAAACTGCTACAATAATCAAGAGGATTTTTTTTAACAAAAAAAATCTAAGAATAAACAGGAGAAAATTTCTGTTGCTTAGACATGATACATCTTTATTTTTTAGAAAGTCTTCAAGAAAGAGCTTTAGAAGAAGGAGTATTAGACATGTTAGAACAATATATATCCTACCACCTATCTGATAGAGCCTTATGTAACATGGTTCTCCTCACAGTCAGCAGCTTTGCTGATTCAGGTAAGATTAGCTTTGTGTAACATTAGTCTCCTCACAGTCAGCAGCTTTGCTGATTCAGGTAAGATTAGCTTTCTGGAACATTAGTCTCCTCACAGTTAGCAGCTTTGCTGATTCAGGTAAGATTAGCTTTGTGTAACATTAGTCTCCTCACAGTTAGCAGCTTTGCCGATTCAGATAAGATTAGCTTTGTGGAACATTAGTCTCCTCACAGTCAGCAGCTTTGCTGATTCGGGTAAGATTAGCTTTCTGTAACATTAGTCTCCTCACAGTTAGCAGCTTTGCTGATTCAGGTTAGAATAACTTTGTGTAACATCTGTAACATTCTGACAGTCTGTTGATTTGCCAATTCAGGTAATACTAGATCTGTGTCACATAGGTGTCCTCAAAATCAGTAGCGATCCTGTTTCATTTACAGTTAGTTTTATGTAACAGGGTTCTCCTCACATTCAGTAGCTTATATTATCATATGCTCTATATAAATCAATATAGCATGGTTCTCTTCAGTAGGTTTGGTGATTATTGGAAAGTTTGCTCAGTTAACCGTGGTTCTCCTCAGTAGCTTTACTGATTCAGGCAAATTTTGCTCTATGTAGCATGGATCTCTTCTATAGCTTTGCTGATTCACGCAAGGTTTGTTCTATATAACATGGTTCACTTCAGTAGGTTTGGTGATTATGGGAAAGTTTGCTCAGTAAACCATGGAACTCCATAGTAGATTCAGGCAAGGTTTGTTCTATATAACATGATTTTGATCAGGGAATGTTTGCTCTATATAGCACGATTCTCCTCAGTAGCTTGCTGATTCAGGTTAGGTTTGTTTAATGTATCTTAACATTGTTCTCCTCATTAACTATCTTTGTTGTGGTTATGTAAAGTTAAAACAGATATCATTATAGGAGATTTACTGATTCAAGTGAGGTTAGTTTTAGATATCATAACATGGTTTTCTTACTGTTAGTAGCTATGATTTATCATGTAAGGTTTAATATTCTTCTCAGTTGCTGATTCTGGTAAATTAACCTTTGTTGAAATATATTTCTCCCCAGTTAGTAGCTTGGCTCTTTATCATTCTGGTTAAGTTAACTCAGTGTATAGTTTTGTGCACTTTCTGTTGCATTACTGGTACAGGTTAGATTAGCTCTGTGTAAAATTCCAGTCAGTTTACAGATTGCTTGTCCACATGAGATTTTTCTTAGCTCTGCTTATCCTGATTCTCGCTGCCAGTAGGTTTGCTAATTAAAGTAAGTTTAGCTGTGCAACAGGATACTGTCAGTAACTTTGCTCAGTCAGACAAGTAAACTGTCTAGAAAGCTTTAAAGCAAAGTCTACAATATTTGCAAAGTAATTACTCATGCTGATGTTTCTTTTTTGTGACGGAAGAATTCTTTTCAGTCTCTTAATAGATGCAAAAAGGAAGTTAAGCAGATTGCTTTCATCTACAAAAAATAGTTGAAGATGATACAATCAAATCATGCTTCTGACATGCATAGTCCTCCTGTTTGATAACTGTGAATTATTTTTGAATGTAAAGGGTAATTTTTCATTATAAAAAGAAAATGATAAGATTATAAGATTTAATCTGGTAAATGGATGAAAAGAAGTGATAAATGTTTTCCTTGAAGTACACCTTTTGGGTGCTTTGAAAGATAGCTTGTTTTTATCTTTTGGTGAATTTTTTCTTCGAAAAAAAGATGTAGTGGAAACAGCATTGTAAACATTACATTAAATAAATGACTTTGAAAATAAAAATTGACAGGTGCCTATATATATGCTGATATCCACATAAGCTTTTCAAACAGACCCATAATGCTCGTCTGACATTGTCATAGCTTACAGTTGTAGGGTGAATTAAAGATTCCTAGGCTTTTGTTGTCTTAACTTGTGCAATAAAATTGTCTCAAGAATCCAAATTGAAACATATGCCTAATAAAGTTACAGAATCAGTGACCATTTTCAACAAAACAGTACAAAATTAAAATTGATAATTCTGCATGCCAACTTTCAAAAGTCCTTCATTGTTAAAAGCACTAATAAAAAAGTAAATCGTATGAGATATATGAAATAATAATGACTGTTGGAATCAAATGAGGAAAAAATAATTTTGAAAAAAATTGAAAACAACACTTTATAAATTGCATGCGTATGAACAGCATTTCTGGATTTACATTCATCAAGAATGCTTAAAGCCGAATATTTGAAAGCCAAGGATGTATACGGTAAGAGCCGTTAGCTCTTGATACTATAATGTAATTTTCTTGCTTTGGTACTTTTTATTTTTCATTTGATTCATTTGAATTGTACAAGACACCAACATCTGGTAATTAGGTTGGTCACTTGCTGTACATAAAGCATTTTTAAAAAGATGCAAGTCCTATTACCGATATTTGTTTGCCAAATTTTCTGTATTAGCGCAAAGAAATTTTGACAGACCAGGATGCAGTTGATACATTTAAGATATAAGATTCAATTGTCTACTTTTCAACCATTAATAACACAGATATTTTAACTTCCAGTAATGATTTTACATCTTGAGAGCTGTTATGTTTTCAAGATGTGCATATTAATGGTTCAGAGATGTTTTATTGACCAATCATTGGTTATCTTCATACGTTTTTTGAAAATTCAATTTATTATATTTTTGAAGACATATGGTGATACTTGTGTTCAATGATTAAAGTGATGCAATATCTGTGTAAATAACAGAAGGAAGATGTTCACTTGCTGTAGAGAGGAATTTTTTATTCTGTTATTTCCTGTTTCTAAAGTACTTTTATTCTGTTTCAAGTGTAATATATGTTCATTAAATTTATGATAATGCTAAAATAATAGAATTTGTTTGTCACAATAATCTGTAAGCGCTCCTAAACTTTTAACTTGATTTCAATAAAACATAATAGTGTTTGTCGAAAGATGCTTTATTATAATAATGCAATCATATATAGTTATACCAAACATGGTATCAATAAGCTACAATGATGAAGCACCTGAACCCTGATGTGGGTAATAATAAAAGTAATAAGAAGAAAAAAAAGAAAAAATCAATTACATAATAAAATGTGGCTGGAACATGCTCTCTTGCTTAATACCACATGTTAACTAAAACCCGGATGAAGTAACAAGGGGAAGCAATCTTGTACAAGGTGTTATCAATTAGGTAGAATGAGAGTTACCTCCCATTGTACGTAATGATACCTAACTGCATTTTGCATCTCCTATTTTATTTTTTTAATCAATGAAAACATGGACTTGGCAATGTCTATATCCTACATATATTTTATTGAACAATACTTGTTTAATTATTTTTTAATTGATTGTTATTTGTTTGATATTCAGAACAAAAGTTATTTGGTAGTTCTGTAAATGTGACTCTTCAAAAATTATATGTTTGATAGTGTAAGAAATATTGTCTGGCTACAAGTCACAAGACCCCTTAAAAGGATATGTTTGGTAGTGTAAGAAATATTGTCTGGCTACAAGTCACAAGACCCCTTAAAAGGATATGTTTGGTAGTGTAAGAAATTTTGTCTGGCTACAAGTCACAAGACCCCTTAAAAGGATATGTTTGGTAGTGTAAGAAATATTGTCTGGCTACAAGTCACAAGACCCCTTAAAAGGATATGTTTGGTAGTGTAAGAAATATTGTCTGGCTACAAGTCACAAGACCCCTTAAAATGATATGTTTGGTAGTGTAAGAAATATTGTCTGGCTACAAGTCACAAGACCCCTTAAAAGGATATGTTTGGTAGTGTAAGAAATATTGTCTGGCTACAAGTCACAAGACCCCTTAAAAGGATATGTTTGGTAGTGTAAGAAATATTGTCTGGCTACAAGTCACAAGACCCCTTAAAAGGATATGTTTGGTAGTGTAAGAAATATTGTCTGGCTACAAGTCACAAGACCCCTTAAAAGGAAATGTTTGGTAGTGTAAGAAATATTGTCTGGCTACAAGTCACAAGACCCCTTAAAAGGATATGTTTGGTAGTGTAAGAAATATTGTCTGGCTACAATTCACAAGACCCCTTAAAAGGATATGTTTGGTAGTGTAAGAAATATTGTCTGGCTACAAGTCACATACAACCCCTTAAAAGGATATGTTTGGTAGTGTAAGAAATATTGTCTGGCTACAAGTCACAAGACCCCCTTTAAAATGTAATGTAAATAGATTGAAGGTCCCCATTCTGACTAGATGATGCTGTATATATTGTATACATACTGTACATCATGGAGAACATACCTTCATGATGGATCTTAGTATCATCTTACTGCTGGATATATGAGAAAAGTCCAGGTGACCATATTTATCTATATCCCAGTCAACCAGTGCAGGTCTATGAGTTACTGTCAAAGATTACTAGTACTCAGGCCATTGAAATTGTCCATATTTGTTTACCTAGGAAGTATATTCATAGCCTAACATGTAGTCTTTAGTTTGACAAATTTTGGTTACAAGTTCTTTAATTTGTCTTGATACTACTCATGACATCATGTTTATAAATCTTCTATTTTTTTTCTTGCAGACTTCAGTAGAGACAGACTGGTAAAGTCTAACCTGTGTAATACTATTGTCAACCTGTTACAGTCTGATAATGATGGAGCTCATACTGATACTATACTAGATATGTTGATCAACATGTCAGAATGGGGTAAGTATATCTTTGATCTGACTGCTTTTAGGAATTTCATTGACATGAATCGTATTTACTTCATGTTTTGGTTCAGCTCTGGAATCGGTGGGTTTCAGTTAACAAAGTGTTGCTTTATTGCCAGTGCAGTGTAAATTATTAAAATACTTTTATTGCATTGAAATTCAATAGTCACAGTGAAGTCATTGTATAACTTTTATTGCATTGAAATTCAATAGTCACAGTGAAGTCATTGTATAACTTTTATTGCATTGAAATTCAATAGTCACAGTGAAGTCATTGTATAACTTTTATTGTATTGAAATTCAATAGTCACAGTGAAGTCATTGTATAACTTTTATTGCATTGAAATTCAATAGTCACAGTGAAGTCATTGTATAACTTTTATTGCATTGAAATTCAATAGTCACAGTGAAGTCATTGTATAACTTTTATTGCATTGAAATTCAATAGTCACAGTGAAGTCATTGTATAACTTTTATTGTATTGAAATTCAATAGTCACAGTGAAGTCATTGTATAAATTTTATTGTATTGAAATTCAATAGTCACAGTGAAGTCATTGTATAAATTTTATTGTATTGAAATTCAATAGTCACAGGGAAGTCATTGTATAACTTTTATGATGATTAAGTGCTAAACATGCTATCTTGGTCAACTGTCTATTTGAAAAGATTGTGCATTGCCCTCTTGATGTCTCTGTCTATTCTTGTTGTTGGGTTGCTGTTTAATTAATGTATACCCCAAATCTCCCTTTTTAGCTCAGTTAGCCCAATGGGCCAAGTGAGCTTTTCTCATCACTTGCCGTTCCTTGTCCGTCGTCGTCATCATCATTGTCCATTAACTTTTACAAAAATCTTCTCCTCTGAATCTGCTGGGCCAAATTTAACAAAACTCGGCCACAATCATCATTGGGGTATCTAGTTTAAAAAATGTGTCTGATGACCCCGCTTGCCAACCAAGATGGCAGACATGGCTAAAAATAGAACATAGGGGTAAAATGCAAGTTTTGTCTATTATTTTGAAAACTGTTGTAATTATAAATAGAGAAAATCTGACAGGGCAAAAATGTTTAGAATGTTGAGCTCTTCCAATTGTGTATATACGTCAAAACTGTCAGACGACTTTTTATAGGAGTTATTGCCCTTAAATGACAAATTTTATCATTTTTGCCTTTTATCTTGAAAACTGTTATATAGAGAGATAAACGTTAAAATGCAAAAATGATCAGCAAAACAAGTTCTACAAATAAGTCTGCATGGTTGAAATCGTCAGTCGACTCCTTATTTGAGTTATTGCCCTTTGATTACGATTTTTACCAATTGTTTGTGTTTTTGCCTTATATCTTAAAATTATAATAGATAGATAGAAAATTAAATAAGCAAAAATGATCAGCAAGACAAGATCTTCAACTAAGACAACTTGAGGAAATCATCCGACGACTCCTGATTGGAGTTATTGCCCTTTAATGACAATTTTTACCATTTTTTAGGTGTTATGTATGATAAAAATTATAATAGATAAATACACACTTTAAATCAAATTTAGAGCCTCTAGTATTTACATGTGAAACTGCATTCTCATGACCCAGATTTCCAGTTTCAATTAATTGGGAACGTAATAGCTTAAAGTTTTGGTTTAAGCTAGTTAGTGGTCTAAGTACACATATTCGTTATGAAGTGAACTGTTTAATATAAATGCCAACCAGATTTTTTGGTTCACTGAACATGGAAATGTAAAAGTTTAAGCAGGGCATGGGGTCCTATGGACACATATTCTTGCTTAGGAATTCCTTGAAAAGCTTAGGAACATGGTATGATTAACTTGAATGATTAGTTGATGATTAACTTGTGCTTTTGTATCTGTAAATTCTTTGAAAAGGACAGAAGGACTTACTTGATTTGATACTAATAAAAAATGTTTTAACCTTCAAAAAAATTGCTTTGTCATTTCAGATGAGATCAAGGACTTGTTGGCAGAGACAAATTTAAGCAATCACTTGATCAGGATTATCCAATCAAAGACTGGCAAATTAGACACTGAAAGTCAACAGACAATCAAAATGGCATCTGATTTGCTAGTTCTTTTGCTCACTGGTGGTAAATATCTTGGAAATATTGATACAATTTTAAACTTTCATTTTGTATTATTTATCTGTTCTTTTAGTGTTGTTTATAAATATTACAGAGTTCCACGCAAACTGGTAAGGTTCCTTTACCCATAGATGCATGGGTTTATACATCTATGCTTTACCTCTCCAGAAAACAATGTGAGAGATTTTTCTCTGCCATACCTCTCCAGAAAACAATGTGAGAGATTTTTCTCTGCCTTACTTTTTCCAGAAAACAATGTGAGAGAGTTTTCTCAAGGAACTTTATTTAGTCAATTGAATCATTGCATCTGTTGTAGTTTAGACAGTAAGAGTACATGAAGAATAATCTTAAAAAGATGGTATAGAGGCAGATAATTGTAGAATTCAAAATCAATTTTCATGATAGAATGTCATGCAATGCCGAAATCATCATATCCTCTAGCTATCTGTAATTTTGTTTAATGCTGTTTCATATACTTTTGTAAAATTATAAGGCCATCAGTTATATTGTTGAAGGAAATTAAAGTTCCCAGAATAAATCACTGAGGTATTGCAAACAATTGACTAACTTTATCACATATCCAGAGATTGCGTTTTGATTGCCAATTGGTAAATGACTTGAACAATAAAATTGAGAATGGAAATGGGGAATGTGTCAAAGAAACAACAACCCGACCATAGAGCAGACAACAGCTGAAGGCCACTAATAGGTCTTCAATGCAGCGAGAAACTCCGGCACCTGGAGGCGTCCTTCAGCCGGCCCCTAAACAAAAATGTATACTAGTTCAGTGTTCTCCCCAGGCCCTTAAAGGACCGCGGGCCCGCGATGTATAATTTTTTACCGTGGTGGTATCGTTCTTACCGCGATGTATAATTTTTCTCCGTGGTGCTAAAATTTTCAGTTAAAAAATCGAAAATCGTTAAAGTTTTAAACGACTTGTTAAATCTTTTCCGTGTGGTATAAAATTACAGGTGAAATTTGACCAGTACAAACCAGTTCAACACGGATTGTTTACACCATGTGATCGATTTACCTTTATGAGGTTAACCTTTGTAGAATGGATTTAATCGATGTAATTAACACTTGTTACATGATTCCTTTGTGTTTTAATTTAGAGATCATAACTTTATGATCAAAGATAACTATTTTAAGGCTTCACTCACCACCTGACAAGTCGGCAAATACTTTGTACACAAACCAAATACTTTGTACACAAACCGTGTTGACCCGATAGTTGTACACACAACGGTACATATTTTGTACATTATAAAGTTAGCTCAATACTTATATTATAGTTTTATATGTCTCTGATTAAACCATGGCCAAAATCTTTATTTATGATATAGTTCTTGCATGATATTCCGTTTTCAAACTGTCAACAAGTAATTCAAAGGGGAAGGATCACATGACCCAGTTAGTTCACGTAGAATATTCAAGATTATTTACAATTAACTGTAATCTATTCTATTTTATAAATAAAATGCATGACTGTACCTTCAAACTGGATATCTTTATCCATATGATCATTAATGAATAACAGAAGTGATCTTGCAAATTTAATCCATAAGCACATGTTAAATCTATTTATATCTACTTCCTGTCATTTAGGCGGGAAAATAGGGAGACTTTGTTGTTGACATTGAATATGGTTACTTAAAGATCTATAGACCTAAGATAAATTTATAGATTTAGGAATTCTTTCTAAATGGATCATGACAAATAAAGATTTAGATTTCAGTGCAGTATTAATTCTGTATCTATGTTTGATTATCACCAAAGACAAGAAAGGTTAATATTTACATAAACATGAAATATGGCAAAATGTTTTAAAATTTATGAAAAATTTCTTTTATTAAAATTTAAGGTAGAAATTGGTTCAAATTATAACACAATTTTGTTCTTGTTAATTTTATATCTCCTTATGACAGGAATCCTTTCACATACAACAACTTTCTATCTAGAAACTAGAAAGTTTTTTTAAATTGAACATTTTTGTTCTCTTTTGAATCTGGGAACAGTATATCTAACAATATATATGTTCCTGTTTGAAAGATATTTTATTTTTATTGATCATGGATTTTATAAAAGATTTAATTACTTTAAATTTAGATGAATATTATGTAATGAATCATGTTTTAATTATTTTTAAAAAATATTAAAAGTATACAAACTGTTTATTGATCTTTTTAACCAATAATAATTAATATTCTGACATAACACAGTACCACAGTATTAAAACAAAACAAGAGACATAATAAATGCAGTAACTAGAAATATAGCGACGCCATGCGACACAACTGATTGTATAAATCAGTTCACCAAGTTGTTCACACGCGTTACCCTGGTGCTATCAAAAAATCCTGGGGAGAACACTGCTAGTTCAGTGATAATGGATGTCATACTAAACTCCAAATTATAAACAGGAAACTAAAATTTAAAATGATGCAAGACTAACAAAGGCCAGAGGCTCCTGACTTGGGACAGGCGCAAAAATGCGGCGGGGTTAAACATGTTTTTTGAGATCTCAACCCCCCCCCCCCCCCCTATACCTCTAGCCAATGTAGAAAAAACAAACGCACAACAAGACTGTTATACCTTTATAAAGGTTAAAGACTGAATTATATGTAAAGATACATGTGACCAGCTACCCACAACACTCAGACTCCCTATACTCCCCTCTTCTATCTAATGAAATCATTTTGCTTTAAAACATGAAAACTGAAATACTGGAAATTTAAAAGTGTTCAGATATAACAGCATGCACAGACTTAATGCATGACATATGTGCACTTATTCACTTTAATTTATGTAAAAAAAAACAGAATGTATTGATCTAAAGATTGCATCTTACTTGGCAGTAGAAAACATCTATATTGCGTAATTATGCTACTTATTTTAATTGTTTTTGGCAACTTAAAGATTTAAAATTGATAACTTTTCCTTTCACAAAAATCATTCTTCTGAGAATTGCCAAGAATTTAATGATGCACTTATGTTTTCTCTATATTTTCATTGTTTTTAAATCGGAAAAATAATCTTGAATTGTAATTATACAAGTCCTTGAACATAATAATAAATTCATTATTGAAATTTAAATGGTGTTGAAATAATTTTAGTTAATCATTATTCTTATCGCATTCATAGTTAATGCATTCTTTTTTATTTTTACCACATATTTTGGTCATCAAAATATCTTACACTGAAATAATACTGCATGAGTACTTGTATCTATGGGATTCTAATTTTTGTAAGTAATAATAACCAAAAAAAAGGTAAGAGAGAAGGACGAGATTGTACTTCGTATCAGTTGAAAATTAGGCAGATAATACCAAGAATACATTCAAAAGTCCAAGAAACCCTGACAACATGGCAAAAAACGATTAACAACAAAAGGACATACAAGTCTTCAAAACACTTCATAGAAAACTAAAGACTCAGCAACAACAACCCAACAAAAAACTGAAGTAGATATCAGGTACTCTGGAAGGGTCAACCACATATTTGGAATATATTGTTCAGACCTGCCAACCTTCACGATTTATGGGGGATTTCCCCCATGAGAGGTGTTGACCTAAATTTTTAAATTCTTTATAATACTTTACTGAACACCTTAAAACAGCCATTCAAATGGGTTTAAAGGGTATTTAAACACAAACATACTCATTCAAACAATACAGTAGTAGATTAGAAATACTTATGACAATATAAGAGGAGCATTGGGTCCTCTTGCACTTAAAATCCCCCATGGAGATTTTGAAAAGTTGGTAGGTATGGTTGTTCATTCCTGTATGGCATAAGACCTTGACTTTGTCATATTTATGTGCTAATTCTGGAGGTGAATGAAATGATTCGTTAAGATCATGATTAAGTTAGATATCAGTTTATATGTGTAACATACTAGTATGGTCAAAAGATTCTCTGTAAATTGTCTTTCTGACAAAAGTCAACTGACTTTGACCTTGTGGTACAGTAATGTATTATGATTAGGTCAGTTTCTGTTTAATATGAAAATAAAGAGATGTGGTATGATTGCCATTGCGACAACTATCTACCAAAGTTTAAATGAAGTGGATGTAAGCAATTATAGGCAACCGTACGGCCTTCAACAATGAGCAAAACCCATACCGTAAGTTAGCTCTAGTGTTATCTGAATAAAAAGTCCCATTGTAAGCTCAATTGATTATACTGACATTCATTATATCGTTTAGTTACAATCAATTATGCATGAGAAACCTCTATGGTGTGTCAACTCTTGATATAATGAGGACATCATTTAGAAAAGAAATTAAATGTTGTTATGTTTTTCAGACAAGAGCATGGAAGCATTATTTAAGAATAGTGAAGGTCCAGTATTTTATGAGATAGTGAAATGGTTAGACAGTGATGTTGATCATTTAAGATTGTCTGGAGCTCTGGCTGTCGGAAATTTTGCAAGAAATGGTATTGTATGATATTCCTTAGTCTGTAAAAACAACAAATTGTCATTGAGTTTACCTTTGTCATAGTTTGATACCCCATAAAAAGATTGATTGATTATTGGTTGCTTAACGTCGAGTGGCAGTTATTTCATACATGTTCAAGACGAGAACAAATTAAAAATTAATACAAATTATTGGATAGGAACAGAATATAAACATTTAAAGAAGAACAAGCCAAAACATGTCAACTTTAGCTGTTGGGTTGCTGCATTTTTAACTTTTATCCAGAATTTCCCTTTCTTTTCACTTTATAGCAAAAATGCAAGATGAAGAATAAGACTATGAGAATTAAATATAAATGTGGAACTAAGTCATTTATAAGATAATGCAAACAAAAATGGATGTGAGGTAAATGTACTTGAAGCAATTGCAATTTAAAAGCATCTTCTAGACATGCATTTTTCCAACCCCACATCATTCTTCACTAAAAAACCTATAAATTGCTACATATCAGTACAGTGTTAACAACAGATCATTTGAAAGTATCCAGTTTTACAACATTTTTATTTTATTACAGATATCTCTGGCAAACAGGAAATTTATTGTATATCATGTTTATATTTTATATTCACAGATGATCACTGTCGAAAGTTGGTAGAAGAAGGAGTTTTAGACAAATTATTATCTGTACTTAAAAATTCTGACGAGGAACAAATAACACTACGACATGCTATACTTAGTGCTCTTAGAAACCTAGCCATTCCAGGTGGGTTATATATATAGATATATAAGTTACAGGGGGGGATGTAGTGAAAATTACACTACGACATGCTATACTTAGTGCTCTTAGAAACCTAACCATTCCAGGTGGGGTATATATAGATATATAAGATAAAGGGGAGGGATGTATAGAAAATAAATGCAACATTACAATATGCTACACGTTTTAGAAATTTTGGAAATCTAGCCATTTCAAGTGGGATATGAAATGTACTATAAAGGGGGAAAGTGTAGTGAATTAAAATCACTGCAATGTCCTCTATGTCAACAATTGTTAAAGTTTGTGGTTATTTTACTTTAAGAGGAACCACTAATGGATATTAATGAATATCTTTGGTGTTCAAGATATATCCATGGGTTTTCAATGTGACTTAGAGGTGTATCAATCTGTAATCAACAATTCCTAATACTAGACATCTTGTAAAATACCAACTTAACATGCACACACTCTTTTACAGAAAAAAATTACAGTTTTGCATCTTATTTTCTAATCATAAAGATTTGTGTGGTTTCAAATAGCATGATTAGTTTTTAGTAAGGTAATATGGGGGAGGGAAACATTTCTCTAATCCACAACTCTTGTTTGAAAACCAAACTTGCATTGACTCTTTTACTAGAAATGAGGTTGTGTTCTATTTTAATTTTGATCAGATTGTTTTTTATTCCCCCGCAGCTAGTTGAAGGAGGTTAAAAGGTTTACCCTTGTCCATACTTCCATTCGTCCATACCTCCATTCGTATATACTGAAATTGGTTTCCCTTCTCTAACTTAAAATTGCCTCATCCAAATTAATGAAACTTATACACAATGCATATTACCACCAAATACAGATCAAGTTATAACTTGGGTGACATGACTTTCAGTATTCTCGAGTTATGTCCCTTCATAAATGGAAAAATTGTTGAATTTGCCATTTCCACACTCTTACTTTACTTTGCCTCAACCAAATGTTTATGAAACAAACATAATGCTTATTACCACCAAACACAGATCAAGTTCGTAATTGGGTGGCGTCACTTCCACCATTCTCGAGTTATGTCCCTTTATAAATGGAAATATTGTTGAATTTGCCATTTCCACACTCTTACTTTACTTTGCCTCAACCAAATGTTTATGAAACATACACAATGCTTATTACCACCAAACACAGATCAAGTTCTTAATTGGGTGGCATCACTTTCACCATTCTCGAGTTATGTCGGAAAATGGAAAAATTGTTGAATTTGCTGTATACTTACAAGCAAGCACAATTGTGTCCCATGGGCACATTCTTCTTTTATTTGCATTTTCCCATAGCAAATGGTCTATGGGAGACTATCTTCAAAGTTTGTATTTAGAATTTATTCATGTCCATTATCAACCAAGTATACACATAAAGATTTTGAATGCAGTAATTAAATGTTATCACTTAAATTTTTATACATTTGTGATCAATTTATTTCAAGTATAAATGATCTAATCTTTCAAATATTTCTTTTCTTTCAGTATCTAACAAGCAATTATTGGTACAGTGTGGTGTCTTAGAAGCTGTAATGATTTTAACATCATCAAATGTAATGGCTGTAATCTTCAAATTATTAGGGGTACTTAGAATGCTAGTTGATGGGCAAGGTAATTTTAAAGAAATTTAGCTTGGAATTTTACAAAAAACTTTATTTATGGTTGGATTATAGATGCAATATCTTAGTGATATTTAGTGAGTGCTCTCCCTTAGGCCTTTTAGCATCACAATAATGTGATACTATCCGAAATGATGTTCTTATAGATTGTGTTATGGATGTGATGCTATAATTTCTGGAAAGAAGACAGTATTCCAAAATTCCCTGTATATCAGGGTGCAATTTTCAGGGAGAGCTCTGATTTAGTTTACCTCAGTTATAATAAGTCAGGTATTTTAATTTTTATGCTTCTGTCATAGGCGACAGGGACATTAAGCGTAACCCTTGGTAATCTGTCTTGCTGTCTTTCTGTCCAATCCATTGTCTTTTCAGCACTCTAACTTAAGTTTGCCTATTTCAAATTTAATGAAACTCATACACAATGCTAAGAACTACAACACACAGACAGAGTTCAAATTTTGGCAGTGAGTCATTTATTTTTCTGGAGTTATATATAAAAATAAGGAGACGTGTTAAGATTGCCAATGAGACGACTATCCACTAAAGTTTAAATGAAGTTGATGTAAGCAATTATAGGCAACTGTATGGCTTCAACAATGAGAAAAACCCATACTGTATAGACGGCTATTAAAGGACCCAACATAAAAAATATTAAACAGTTCAATTGAGAAAACTAACAGCCTAATTTATAACAAAACAATTTACGAAGTATCAATTATGACAGACATGAACCAACGACAACCACTGAACTAAAAGCTCCTGACTTGGGACAGGCACATAAAGAATGTGGCGGGGTTAAACATGTTTGTGAGCTCTCAACCCTCCTCTAACCTGGTACAGTGGTGTTACAGCACAACATAAGAACAAACTATAAAAATCAGTTGAAAATGGCTTAACTCATCAGGTCGATACAAAGCAGAAAAACATCTAACAAAAACACAGACTGGATGTGGCAGGGTATCTATGCCCTTTTTAACTTGGAAAATTGCAAAGCTTGATCGGGGGGCATTCATGTCCTCAGACATATTCTTCTCTTATTTCTTCATCCTTTAATAGGGAAACAGTTATATAATTATGACAGCTTCTTAAATGAACCTAATCGTATGATGCTATTAATAATCATGTATCATTTGTAAGAACTTTCTTTGAACGCCACAGGTCAGATGTTAGGCATCTGATGATATGATTGGACAGATTGACTTCTTTATAATAGCTCATATGATCTATTGCCTTTTAGCATGTTTTACTATCTTTCATGCATAATGGATGTGCAAAATTAATTTGTCTGCATAAATTTATTGTTTAGAAATTTATTTTGATAAAATCAGGTCAATCTATAAATTCATTTGTCAAAAAAAAAAAAATTATTTCTAAGTCCTATTGAAATTCAAGATTTTGTGGGTTATTTTTTCTTGTCTGTAGATGATTATCTATACATACATTAGGTTTCCTAAATGATTGCATTAAAAAGTAATTTCCAATGTTAATTCTAATTAATTACAACAGTCTAAAGTACAAAACATTATGTTCAGGAATTTTCTAGAAATAGAATATGAGACATATATCAGATAATGAAGTAATAGACGTTACATGTGATATCAAGGCCAAGAAGAGAAATTGCATAAACTTTGGTTTTTTTTTCTACAGCTGGCAAAAGATTAGGTTTTCTGTAGGGATAATTTTGATATACAGACAGATTGATATTACTAGTGAAATAAACATTGACATATATTGCAGACTTATCATTAAATAAAGATAAACAATTATGTAATGAGAAAACAATGAAACACCTGTAAATTCTTACCTAAGAATGACTTCATAGATAAGGCCAAGCAGTATTGCAAACGTGATCTTCAGAACGATTTGGCTTTAATGTTTTACCAATTTCTTTTATAACATTGCCTAATGGTGGTTGGGGGTGGATTTAGTGTTTTGTCCATCCATTTAAAAGTCACAGTAGAATGATAATATGTGAGTAGATACACATATGAAAATGTACTAAGGTCTATAAAGAATTGGGATATGTTGACCTATAGTCCATGCATAAATGATTCTGAATAACTATTATCTATAAGGTCAAAATCTGAATATGAAAAAAGGTTACCTAGACCTATATTTGACGCATGAACGGCTGTTAGAAATTTGCTTTCAGGTCACCATCTAAGCAACTATATTTTTTTAGAGAAATGAAAATTGTCACTGGATGTGTCTAACATAATCAGGTCTATACAGAATTATATCAAACCTGCATTTGTATTTTTTAGCAGGAATATATTTTTTTGTTCTGTATTCTCTGAGGATAAATGGATTTATTTTTCTGACAAGCTGATTTTGTTAGAATTTAAAACCAATTGTCAAAAATCATGTTAGGTTTCAAATCACAATAAATGAGAATGACTGTGAATATAACATGAGTTAGCCAATTATTAGGCTTGATGAAATCTTCAAAAAAAAACCCAGATATAATTGAGTTTACTATTATGAATAACTTTATAACAAAATAGAGACTTAATATAAAATGCTCTTAAAAACTGACACTTTTCTCTTTTGACAGTATACTCTTTTCCTTAATTTTAAAATTAACTGGTCATTCTATACCTTTTGCTTTTCTGTTTATTTTGTTACTTGATCAAGGATTCCTCAAGGACACAGACTGAAACAGGGAACCAGGCCAATAATTAATTAACTGGTAACTTTATTAGCCAGACAAGAATGAATATGTGTAATAATTTATTGTGATTAATATCTACATGAGTTACATTGTTTTCTTGCTAATAAACATTAGAGCATTAAAGCTTCCTAATCTGACATAGAACTGTAAAGTATAGATAAATATTATATGAATATAATGTAGGTAATTTATGATGTACAGGTGCATTGCAATTTGTTAATTGAAGTGGAAAAAAGGACTTGGTTTATGTTTCTATAGTAAAAGTAAAACACTTTTAATATGTGAAATAAGTGTAAACAACTTATAACTTTGAACTGTTGCAAGATAATGTTGCATTTTCTGAAGAGGGCTGCATGTAATAATTGAACACTTTTCAGCCAGGTTCATGATTTTGGTCAGAGTTAGTTGATGCAAACATGTTTAAGTTAGCTGCAAATTTAAGAATTTACCTATTATAAAAAAAAAATCATGCATTCATTTTAGAGAACAAATTCTATCAATAATTTTACTTAAAAACCATTGAAAATTGTTTTTTTTTCACTTTTCCATTGTCATGCAACTTTACTTTGCTTCTAAATCATATATACATGTATACATGTAGCTACCCAGTAGTAAAAGTTTAGTTTAGGAGGATATTTAATTTCATAATAAGATAGGTCACATATAGTCCTGTGACTGCACCTTTCATGATTTTTTCCCCATAAATTACACTGTTTAGGAATCCCAAACTTTTTAAATGTTCTTTTAATTGATAAAGAAGGATGACAAATTTAAATTCAAAAGTGATTTCATAGGTCATTAAGTCATATATTTATAAAGATATGAAACTTTATACTGTAAATACTTTCTTATAGCGCTTACAGAAAACCTCCAACTGGTTTAACAAGTAATCGAATCATGATTGTGTTTAATAACAAACACATAATTGCTGCACACTTCTCAACTGACAAATGGTAAATTGTCCGTCATACTTTTTCTTTATTTGAGGCTCTACACAGGAAGAGGTAGTAGCTAAAAGCAGTAAATTTTTCACTATAAGTAATGCACTAGTATATCTTCTATGTTTGATGTTCTATGTAAGAAATTGTTTATGTCTGGTGATCTTTGAAAGAATATAGATTTAGTTCCTTTACAAAATTTACAGTGATTCTTTATATTGGACAAAACAAAATGACTTATCCTTGTTTGTACAAACCATCTAGTTTTACATCCTAATCAAAGTATTTTGTGTAGTTGTTTTTTCCAGTATTAAAATGAAAAAAGTAGATCAGTATGACCTATATTTTATGGTTCAGAGGCTTTGTTCATACCTGTCAACCTATGAAAATGAAAATGCAGGTCATGACCTGCATTGAAGTCTTAATGCATACAAATTTTTTCAGCTGAATTTAAGTATTTAGGGGACATTTCTTTATATTTTAAATTGAACAGTTTCCAGAATATGTTCACACGGTGAAGTACTAACTGAAAATAATTTAAAACTTAACAAATTGTTATATTAAAATAAAATATGAACAACAGCGTAAACCTCAAACTTATTAACTTCCTTTGTAGTAAATTATCATGTTTCTCATGTTATTATAGAATCTCTAAAGATACATATTGGGTAATTCTCTCAATTTTTTCTGTAAACGACACATACATTTGATAATTGTGGCATTTGTTTTCAATAAAAGATGTATATTTGATGACCAAAAGCACATAGAAGAAAGAAATTGAAATACTTCACTTATTGATATCTCAAAGATTTTTAAATGTCTTAGACACATATTGAAAGATTTACTAGACATCTTGATTATCAAAATTAAGGGTCTGAAAAAGTTGCTTTCCCAAACCTCCTTGGTTTGACATTAAACAATAAAATATGCTATAGTAAATTTTATGACTGCTTTTATTTTGTTAAAAGCTGTTTATCTTTTCATTTATATATTATTAAGTAAAATATTTTGGGTGTTTACTTAAATTCAAAGACTAGAGAGAAGAACTTTTGATAATAATATTCATCAAAATGATTCTATGGTGTGTCAGAACATTTTAATAGAATCAGAAAACTATTTTAAGTAGACCTTCATTGCTTTAAACTTCAGACATTCTGTTTTTTTGGCACAATAAAATAATCAAAAGCATATTTTGATAAGCCACCAACAGTATCTTTTGTCTGTTATTGTTTTGGGTAAGTCTATAGGGTTAATGAAGCAGAGATAACTTTGAGATTTCATTGCTGACTGTACTTTTCCTAAGATTCCTTTGCTTAACTTAGCTAGTTCATAGAAACCAGAAAATGGGAATTCATTTTTTTTTTAATGCCCTTAATTTATCTTAACATGTACAAAAGTCAGATACTTTTCAGTTAACCTGGCCCATTTAGGTTATAAAAACTTGAAACATCACTTATTGCCTATAATTTTTTTAAAAAGTTCTTCTAAACTGACACCACTGAGCTAATTGGACGTACACTTGATATGGGTTTTTCATTTCAAATTATATCTAGAGACTTGTTATATTTTGTAGAATCAGTAGCATTACAGCTTGGAAACAATAGAGATTTTTTAAACAAGTTGGTGAAATGGTGTGAATGTGATGAACATGCTGGAGTTCAAGGTAAAAATAAAAAAATATTATACAAAAGTTTTGGCCCTTGTGTTCTGTGTCCCAAAAACAGTACTCATACATCTCTTACTCTCATGAAAAGTAATATTGTACTGGTGATATTTATGTGATAAAAAGTGTCTACACGGAACGCACTCGGTATAGGATAATAAAGAGCAAAGAAAGTCAGTACATCTCAAAAGAAGATAGAGTTCATCCACTTTATTTGGTCTTTGGTGGAGAGTTGTCTCATCAGCAATCATACCACATCTCCTTATTTTCAGAAAGTAATTTTTAACACACATGGTTCATAGTGCCAGTGTGAGCTATGGCCATCACTTGGTATCTGTCATCTGTCGTTGTCTGTTATCTTTTACCAAAAATGTTGTCTTCTGAAACTACTCGGCCAATCAGAAAATAAGTTTGCCACAATAATCATTAGGGAATTTAGCATAAAAATTCAATTTTTAGCTCACCTGGCCCGAAGGGCCAAGTGAGCTTTTCTCATCACTTGGTGTCCGTCGTTGTCCGTCGTCAGCGTTAACTTTTTACATTTTGAACTTCTTCTAGAGAACCACTGAATGGAATGAAACCAAACATGGCATGAATGTTCCTTATGAGGTGCTGACCAAGTGTTGTTACTTTGTAGCGGATTCATCATCCAAGATGGCCACCAGCGGGGGACTTAGTTTAACATAGGACCCTATGGGAAATACATACAAATGTCTTCTTTTAGAGAACCACTGAATGGAATGAAACCAAACATGGCATGAATGTTCCTTATGAGGTGCTGACCGAGTGTAGTTACTTTGAAGCCGATCCATAATCCAAGATGGCCGCCAGCAGGGGACTTAGTTTAACATGGGACCCTATGGGAAATACATACAAACGTCTTCTTTTAGAGAACCACTGAATGGAATGAAACCAAACATGGCAAGAATGTTCCTTATGAGGTGCTGACCAAGTGTTGTTACTTTGAAGCTGATCCATCATCCAAGATGGCAGCCAGCGGGGGACTTAGTTTAACATAGGACCCTATGGGAAATACATACAAATGTCTTCTTTTAGAGAACCACTGAATGCAATGAAACCAAACATGGCATGAATGTTCCTTATGAGGTGCTGACCAAGTGTTGTTACTATGAAGACGATCCATAATCTAAGATGGCCGCCAGCAGAGGACTTAGTTTAACATAGGACCCTATGAGAAATACGTACAAATGTTTTCTTTTAGAGAACCATTGAATGGAATGAAACCAAACATGGCATGCATGTTCCTTTTGAGGTGCTGACCAAGTGTTGTTACTTTGAAGCTGATCCTTCATCCATGATGGCTGCCAGATGGGGACAATGTTTAACAAAGGAACCTATGGACAATACATACAAATGCTATTTTAGAGAACCACATACTGAATGGATTGAAACCAAACATGGCATGAATGTTCCTTATGAGGTGCTGACTAAGTTTTGTTACTTTGAAGCTGATCCTTCATCCATGATGGCCGCCAATGGGGGGACTTCCTTTAACATAAGAACCTATGGGAAATACATACAAATGCTTCTTCTAGAGGTGCACTGAATGGAATGAAACCAAAACATGGCATAAATGTTTCTTATGAGGTGCTGATTAAGTGTTGCTTCTTTGTTGCCGATTTACTGTTCAAGATGGCCACCAGGATTTTTTATTAAATTACAGGACCAATATTAAACCAAATTTGGCCTCACTCATTATTAGGGTATCTGTTATGATTTTAATCTATTTTTACATGATTTCCAAAACCAAAGTAGAATCAGGTGAGCGACACAGGCTCTTGAGAGCCTCTAGTTTAGTTTTTATATGACCGCAAACATTTTTTTGGGATCGTATAATGGTATGATGTCCTTGTCGTCTGCGTCGTCGTCCGAAGACACATTGGTTTCCGGACAATAACTTTAGTTTAAGTGAATGGATCTTTATGAAATTTTTTAAGAAGGTTCAATACCACAAAAGGAAGGTTGGGATTGATTTTGGGGATGATGGTCCCAACCATTTAGGAATTAGGGGCCCAAAAAGGGGCCCAAAACAAGCATTTTTCTAGTTTCAGGATAATAACTTGTGTATAAGTATTTCGATTGCTCTGAAATTGTACCACAATGTTTAATACCACAAGTAGAAGGTTGGGATTCATTTTAGGGGTTATGGGGCCAACAGTTTAGGAATTAAGGGCCAAAAAGGGGCCAAAAACAAGCATTTTTCTAGTTTCCAGACAATAACTTGTGTGTAAGTGTATGGATCTCTCTGACATTGTACCACAAGGTTTCATATAACAAAGGGAAGGCTGGGATTGAGTTTGTGGATAATTGCCCCAAACATGTAGGAATTAGGGGCCCAAAAAGGGCCAAAAATAAGCATTTTTCTAGTTTCCAGACAATAACTTGTGTGTAAGTGTATGGATCTCTCTGAAATTGTACTACAAGGTTCCATACTACAAAGGAAAGGCTGGGATTGAGTTTTTGGGTTATTGCTCCAAGGGGGGTTTCAAAAAGTTGAGAGGGAGGGGGGGATTTTTTTTCCCAATTTTTTTTAAGGGATTCATATTTTTTTTTCAAAATTTTTAAAATTTCAAATTTTTGAAAAGTTTCAAGAAGAAATCTTCAATTGCACAGTATTGCGCAATGGATTTATAAGATCTTTGACCACATTTATTTTGTGTCAGAAACCTATATTATGTCAAAAATTTGATTACAATCCAAATTCAGACAGTATCAAGCTTGAATATTGTGTCCAAATTTGCCCCAACTGTTCAGGGTTCAACCTCTGCGATCGTATCAGGCTGCGCTCAGCGAAGCATTTTATTGTCTATTATATTGAAAACTATTAAGGGTAGAAAAACAATTTAAGAGCAGATGTGATCAGCAAAATACAATCTACCAAAAGGTCAATGTAGCTGAAATTGTCAGTTGACTCCTTATAGGAGTTATTTTTCAGCAATTTTGCATTAGATGTATTATTCACTGCAAAATATTCTATAGTATTTTATGGTAAATGGGAGAAAAAATTTGGAGCTTTTGTAGGTTTTTTTTTGATGATTAAAAAATTTAAAAATATATTTTGTAATGGTTTATATTTATAGGAGAAGCTTCAAGAATGTTGGCATGGTTGATAAAAAATGGGAGATCAACTGAATTAATGAGAAATATTGTTCGGGAAGATGGAGTACAACCTTTGGTTACCATGGTTTCATCAGAACATATTGTAATGCAGAATGAGGCCCTGATGGCCTTGACATTAATAGCATCGACTATATTAGGTAAATAGACATAAAGAGCATTTTCTGATAACTTTAGAGCATGCACATAGGACATTCCAAAGGAAAGTGTAACAATTTCTCTGAAAAAAATGCAGTAAAGTTCATTTGGAAGGTTATTGTAAAATACATGATACAAATAGATATGAAAGGATAACTCCTTTTACCGCAGGTCCAGTCTTTTGTTTGGTAAGGTGTCACTGGGCTCCCACCTGTGGTCTGTAGTTTCAGGGGGTGCTAAGTTAATTATCATTGTACAGAATTATTCATCTGCAACAATCTAGGCTATTTTACTATTGTATTCTGCAAAAACAAAAATTCAAACTTTGAAATATGGAGCTGTCAAATTATTTTGTTGGTGTGTGTAATGACACACACAAGGGAAGGAAGTGAGAAAGTCCAGAAAGGCTCCAAGCATGAAAATATACAACTGATTACCATGTTTTCAGAGGATTGAGGGTCATATAATGGCTATTTCTGGTTTGATGACCAAGTTGAGGATTATATGGCGAGTAAATCGAATTACGTATATACAGAAATAATTATGTTTATACGTAAATTATTTTTGACCCTGAGTCTGCGCCATAGGATCATGGGTAGATTTGTCCTAGCAGCAAAACAAATTATTATTTATTTTTTTTATTTATGAAGATTTACAGAAGTAAAATGTACTCTTGTAGAAATATATGACAGAAACTTGAATAGCACATATATTTTCTTTTCAGTAAACCAAATGTTTTAAATTTAACTAATATGTCATTTTACTCCTGTATATAGCTGATGCAGCTCTTCAGTTGAAGGAGGCAGAACTTGCTGAGACAATCATTTCTTTATTAGGAAATCCAGATGTCATTCCAGAAATACTGTGTAATACACTTACACTCACTAAAACTGTGTGTGAAGCAGGTTAGTAAGGGGAAATAAACAAATTTATAATTAGAATATTAAATGTGTCTTTTTTGCAAGGCATTTTTTAATCATTTTAACCAAGTACATAAATATTACAATACTGTGATTTTATGTATGGTGTGCATTAATAGAAGAAAATAACACAACTTTACAGATCAAATTAGTACTGTAAATTACATAATTATACTTTATATAGGTCTGCAATACTGTGGTTACAAACTCGAATTGGTAAATTATGATGAACTATAATTGTATGATTTTTGTGAAAAAGCTGCTGACTTTTTAGGATGATGTACTTTAATTTACTCTGAATATAGCTGTTTACATATCAAACTTTTTTTTACAATAAATGTATCTGTTATTGAATTAAGTGTGCTGTATTATGGCGCAATATTAAATTTGAACTTGTATGTCTTCTTTACCTGTACATATTCACTGCCCATGCAAACATTATGCATTATAAGCAACCAAAACCAGTTGTCTGTTAACCACTTTTCTTGTTAGTGGTCAATTATTCTTAGGAGTTACTTCTGATGCAAGTCAGTTCCAGATTCAAGTGGTGGTGAAGAGTGTGCATCCCCCTTTTTGATAAAAAAAACCCCTTATTTTGTATAAAATTATCCCACTAAAGATCTCCTCACTTTCCTGCTATTTTTACCAAATAATGGACAATAATGCTCCCCTTTTCTTGAACCTGGGATCTGCCCCAGCAAGCAAATCTAGGTACATCTGTAATAGCACCCAAATCATGCTTATTTACATGCTCAATTTTATAACTTGTAGTTCCTTAAAATGATTATACATAAGTCAATGCAGCAAACTAAATCGCAAATTGTACAAAACATATACAAGCAGCATGCTACAACAGAAAAATTTCATTAAAGTCAGCCAGATTTCCATTGTAAGGGAGGTAACTGAATATAATTTTGTATTTCTAGCTACACCACCCTTCTCACAGTTAATACCATGTGGTGGTTTGTTTATGTGTTCAGGACTACTGTCTGATATGCAAAGTATGACGGTGTTGTCAAATTCACTTCTTTTAGTTGTGTAAAATTTTATTTTCTGTTATTTTTTGCCCTGTGCAAATTGTTTTTTTCTGTTTCTGTTTATTTTACTCTTCTAACTGGACTTTTTATTGTATGCGTAGAAATATTAAATATAAGTCTTGAATCTTCTCATGTTAGCAGATATGTACAGTAATGGATAAAAAAAGGAAGGCTTGTATGTATGTGATTTATTAGGACTTTCTTAATACTTGCATGCAAAACAACCATTAAATTTTTGTTGTAATTTTTAATCAGGGAACTTTTTTTGGGGGGAGGGGGGCAAAAGAAATGCAAGAGCATATATCTACATTGGTATTTTAGACTGGTGTTCATTTAAACAATGTGACCCTTCAGACTTGTTTGTGAAGAAAAATTAAGACAAAAGATTTTACTTTTCATGATAGTAGTGTCAAAGATAAGCTCTGTTGGCAGTTGTTGTAGCTTCATTCAAAAAGAGGTGTGTATTCTTCAATCACCTTGTCCAGAGTCTGTCTGTTGGTTTGATTGCCACTCTTTTAACTTTTATTTCGTATTTCCCAGTTCTGTAACTTTTAAATTTTTAATCAAGATTGGGAACTGCAATGCAGTCACTTGCTGTTTGATGAAACTTCAATTTTTTTTTATATCCAGTAAGCATTGAATTTTTCGTTAATGTTAATAATGAGTGGCTTGTTTATTTATCACAAGTTCTTTACAGAAAGAATAATTTCGCTATAACGAAGAATCACCAAGAAACAGGATCACAAATCTGTCACTCTTATAAAGTCAATTTTCAGTTAAACTCTGCAACAACTAACTAAACTTACAAAATATAAGGTATTATAAAGTTAATTCTGGTTTTGAACAATTAGTTATAGTTTTCATCATTTTATGTCTTGCCTACGTTTCTGTTGGCGGTGACTACAGCATCAACAACTATGAAGATTTCTGCTTAAGTCAGTTTGATAGGAACTACTTGTGATAGATCAATGATATATTTTATAAAGTTGCATTATTATCAGTACATATCAGTTTGATGACTATTTCGAGGCCCTGTCCCCTAGGTCATGGTCCAGCGACTTTCAATTAATCAACAATGTTTGTTTTTTGGGCTTGATTAAAATATGAAGACTTTGAGTTGGTAAAAAAGTCTTCATTTCCTCTGATGTCCATAGATTTTAATAACACATGTATAAAATATTAGCGTTTAGTTTCTATTCAATGGTTTAGAAAAGATTTTTTATGCCCCTGCCGTATCGGAGGGGGCAATAAGTTTTACTCTTGTCTGTCTGTACGTCTATAAGTCCGTACGTATGTCTGTACGTTCAGGGCTCAGGCTACCAGGCGACTAGGGTGAAGAAGTCGCTTTCCCGTCCGTCACTTCGCTTTGCCCGACCCTCAAAAGCGAAAACAAGTTGCCCTGTGGTTTACAATACTCGCTTTCAGTCGCTTTCGTCATCGGCAATATTCATTTTTGCCAAGACGATGAAACAGCAATTTTTCATTTAAAAGTAAAGAAATTCAAGGCATTAACGATTTATTTACTTCAGAATAGAGGTTAAAGCATTGATTTCAAAGTTGGTGGCATGTTATTTCATAAAAACAATTTTTTATTACTTCCGGTACTTGTTACTCGGAGAGCGTACATCAAATCATTCTAACTTTCGGCAAAATAAGTTGTAACTTCATTAGAACTTGATGAAATTTGTCTGAAGTAAATTTGTTATCCTTGTATTGCATTAAAAACGTCATATTCCTTTCCAAATAGCGTGTCAAACATCGTTTATTTTTTGTAAATTTTTCTTCGTCCGCCATTTAAATTATAAGGCATATTATTGTACAACTACGGATCGGAGTTGGGATTTCATCGGAAACGGACCTGCTATGACCGAAATCCAGATTTTTACGATAATGACTACGGACGCATGAATGGCACTGCTGACAGACAAAAATTGATCCCAAAAGGAAAAATGTCGCATTCCACACGCATTAACATACTTTTGGTTAGATCTTCTTGATTAATGTATATATTTCCATGTATATGCATTGTTTCAATTTATAAGTTAAAGTTGCTCAACTCTGGGACTATTACACTATTATATATAATTATATTATGTCCAAGCTTAACTATTAAATTTATATATCTTTTTAATGAGAAATACTCAGTTTCATGAACATGATAACAGAGTAGTTTTTTAATTGATAGAACAACTTTCTTTTCCTTTTTGATATAAAAAAAAATCTTTTTTATTAGTGCCAGATATTTAATTGTTTTTTTCTGAAAAGAGGACTCATATGATTGTGTAACTAGATATGATAAAATTAAACAACTTTAAATTTGAACAGTTACTTTAATTGTATACCCAGGTACGAATTGAACAATATAAAAAAAATAAGATACATATGGCCCTTAATGTATTATAGTAAAAACCAAACATTGTAGCGCCGCGATCGAACAAGCACTTCTCTTTCAAATCTCACCACTTCTCCCTTTCAATTTCAAAAAGAGAAGTCACTTCTCCCTATGATTCTAAAGTAGTGTGAGCCCTGACGTCCCGAAATTGGTTTCTGTTCTGTAACTTAAGTTTGCCTCAACCAAATGTTATGAAACTTATACGCAATGCTTATTACCACAAAACTCAGATCAAGTATGAATTTGGGTAGCGTCACTTATACCGTTCTTAAGTTATGTCCCTTTATAACGTTATATGCAAGCGGAGGAATCATCTGTGTCCCATGGACATATTCCACATTTATTTCTCTCTTTCTTTGTGAATGAAGTTTCAGAAAGTATATTGCTGATCTGCAGTAAGTAGTTTGAGTAGCAGATGTTTATATATACTGGTATATACTGGTATATATATATATATATACATGTATATATATATATATGTTTCTGAATAACAAACTTGTAAGAAGGGACTGCTTTGCTAATAAAATGTGCGCATAGAATCTATAGAAAATATTTAATGCTGAAAACTTTCCTCTTCCAGGAAAACTGTTTTGGTCTTAAGCTGGTATTGCTACCGGTACTGTTCACCAAGAAAAATCATTTAACTCTAAATCACAAAACACTGGTGTGAAATTTTAAAATTCTTTGAAATCTATAGATTCTGGATTCTTTGTACCCCGGTATATATTTTAAAGGTTTTTTGTGTGTGATTTAAATATTTTTTTAGCATGAAATGGTTTCTTTTGGTGTGTTGTCTGTTAACAAGTATTTTTTTTTTTTTTTTGTGTTTCATTAGACCAATTATATTGGTATTACAACAAAAAATGTATACAAAAATTCAGGCAAGGGGAGCTGCAAAAGTAAAAATAGTTGCTTAGGCTCTTTTTGGGATATCTTTGAATGTGTTTCGTTAGACCTGTTATTTAGGTATATAAATAAAAAATGAAAAATGCAAACTGTCTTGAGGAAGTGTTTTAGGAAATGTTTCCTCTGTAATTGTATACTAAAAAGATAAAATTATTATAAAATAACTTTCAGTAGATGCAATTTGACTCCCTGCATTAGTAAGTTTTAAATAATTGCTTTACAATATGTCTAGAAGTAAACATAATTCAGTTTGCATTGGTTATTAAACAACAAATAGACAAATGTTTGTTTTGCTCCTAGAAATAAACATTTCTTTTTTTAGGTCTCTTATCCCAGTGTTCTATTGTAAGCTTTTCCAATATTTAAAAAAACATTTTTCACTCTCCTTCCAACTATTTGAAATATTTCCTTCTAAGCAAGCTAAATGGGCTTTTCTGCAAGGTTCTAAATTGTAGGAAAAAATATCTTAAATGCTAAGAGCCAAAAACTTAAATTAAATTGAAATAAAAGGTGCTTTCAAATTTGGAGAATGGGAAAAACAGGTATAACAATGCTTCAAATCATTTATTATGAAACTAGAGGATTTTTATTGGCTGATCAAGGCATTTAATGCTTCTATTGACATTTAATCTGTGTTCAGAACTAAGGTTAATTGACATTTTGTTTGATAGGTTTATGGTAATATTTCTGTCCCCCGCGCAACACATTGAATGGGGGACATAGAATTACTGGGCGTCAGTCGGTCCAGTCTTGTTAGTGCTCTCACATGTACAATTCTTGGCAGATATTTATAAAACTTATATCAAAGGTTTATATCAGCTATGTCTTGAATGAGTTCGAAAATCAGTGCCGATCAATAATTTTAAAAAGAGTTATGCCCCTTGGAACATTCACAATATGAAAAATTGCACTGTTAGCACTTTCATTAGTACAATTCTCGCCAGATTTTTATAAAACTTATATCATAGGTTGATATCAGCAATGTCTCAGGTGAGTTCGAAAATCAGGGCGGATCAGATATTTTTAAAAGAGTTATGCCCCTTTGAAACATTAATTATATGGAAAATTGCATCGTTAGCACTCTTATGTGTACAATTCTTGCCAGAATTTTATGAAACTTATTTCATAGGTTTATATCAGCAATGTCTATGACATTTTTAAAAATAAGTGCTGATCAAATATTTTTAACGATTATGCCCTTCGGAAATATTAGTTATTTCAGAAATCACACTGAATTTGCACTGAAGCGTTCATTTCTCTAAGATATTTATGAACCGTTTTAAAGAACAAAAAAAAGGATATTTTTTAGTTATTGCCCTTGTACCTTGGATAGATAAAATATGTGCAACATGGGGACATTGGAACTCTGTTCTTTTATTTGATAGGTTTTTGGAAAATTTGTGTGATAGGTTTATGGAATATTTTTGCATGATACAAATTTGATTAAAATATTCTTATATAAAAATTATTTTCATGCCCCTGCAACGAAATGTCAGGGCATTTTGTTAAACCAGTGTCTGTTTGTTCATCTGTTCTTCCATCCCACAAAGGTTAAATGATTTGTCTGTTAAGTCCTCCTAGTTTTCAAGCTAGAACTTTTATATAATGTAGGATATAGAATGTTAGTTGATAAATTGCTAAATCTTCCTACAGTTTTTAAAATTCCATTGAAAGTATTTAACATGATCTAAACACAACTTGAAGGTTGGAAAGATGAGTAAAACTTTATGCAACAGCATCTGATTTGCAGGGGTGTAAAAAAACACTGAAACCGAAAAAACTGTCATTTCATGCAAATATTATATAAAATTTTTATATGTTATATAAATTTATAAAACAATCAACCTAACTGATTTTTTAAGCATTACTGAATATGCTTTTATAAATTGTTAACAATATTTTAATGCATTATTTTGTAATGTCATCCTTGTGGATGAATACAAAATTTTATACCAGACTTTTAACGAAATGAATTATCCTGTTTAATTTCAGAAAACTTAAAAGATGAAATAATGAACTCAGGACTAACCAATATTGTCAAAAGTTTGAAGGAGCATAAAGATGAGAAAGTGAGAGACAGTGCAAGCAAAGTCTTGACAGTGATTGAAGAAATGCCGCTAGAACGATAATACTGAAATAGGGAACAGGGATACAGTCCAGTGGGGTAGTGCCCTGATGTGTTACCTCAGGCCAGAAACCAAGCTCAAAGACATTTTTGTGTTTGTGATACTTTTAATAGTCATCATGGGCAGTTATATGATGACTTTAGACAGATGTGATGAACTTTAGAATTTTTAAACTAGGAATAAAATTGTAATTAATTTGTATATAACCAACTCCAAAACACTTATATATCTTAAAGTCATTACACATATATCTTATCACTGCTTTGTGAAATGTTGGGGTAATCCAATGTGTAACTCTATTATAAAACAGTAATGTACAGTTTCTCAAGGTTCTTTGCTTGTCTGACTAATGTGGTCATAAAATATTATCAAATAGCATCCATAATCCATTTTCACCATTGTATTTTTTCTTTATTTGTGTCATACTAAGAAATAAAAATTATGATGTAGAATGAGCAGTACTTTTATTGCAGTTTATTAGCTGCAAAGTCATACCTTCAATAATATACTCACACAGGCTTATTGAAAAATGACTTCATAAAATATTGGGCAAAGAACAAACCTGCAACTCTTTTATTTTGTAAACTATGTTCAGCATTTTTGTACTAACTGATAAAAGTGCTACAAACTATTAAGAATTGTTTTATGATCTATAAACCTATTATAGATTTTCATGCTTTTATCTTTGTTGATTTTGCATGTGTATATATAAGGTAAATAGTAAGCACTGTGTGTTAGTTAATGCTGCCAAACATTGTCGAACATCATATGCAAAGCAAATTACAATCATTGTTAAAATACCTGTTTTTCCAGGAAGTCAATTCGCTATCTCAGAATCTAAAGGATTATGGGTTATTTTAGTGTTTGTACCCCAAAATGAAAATAATGTCAGGTCATTGGTTGAGTTTCCATTGTTTAGAATATTTTCAACCAATCACAGTGTTTGGTGTAAGCTTTTGAAAATATTACCCAGAATTCATTAGATTCTGAAACAGCCAATTGTGAATGTTATGTTTTGTTTGTATTGTTGTTTGATATGGTTAACTTTTTAAATTAATGTCATAATTATTTTTTATGCCAACCACGAAGAGAGCAGAATTTGGGAAACATCTTTTTGATGTTTGTCCATTCTTATGCACTCAAGGTTTATACATATATATTTATATATGTATACTGTAAAAACATCATTATTTGTGGTGACAATTTTTGAGGCTTTCATTGTTCTTTAAAACTGCATAATACCAAAATGACATTTCTAATTTATATTTATTTATTTATTTTGTGCAATGTATGAAACATCGAATTTTAGAACCTGTTGATTTTATTTTTCCAGAAACCATTTTGATTTATTATACTTCATGTTGAAATTCCAGATTTTGATTGGTTAATACAAGGGTGATAATTTACTTTATCCCATTGCTCATACTCTATTAAACTTCACAGATACCATTAATCAATTGTATGCTTTATTTAATGAGGATTGTTGTTATGTACAATACATAATGGTTTATTACTTTGAATTTGAAATTTAATAGACAGTAAAAAGAGAACATACATTATAAGAAATTAAATAACACATATCTGAGAGTGTGATAAAGCAGATTGTTATCCCTCGAAAAAACATGATCAACCTTGGCTTCTCCTTTATTAACAAGTTTTATATAAGTTTGTTTTAAGTATGCATTAAATTAAATTTCATTTTGAAATTTGAATGAAATACTCTGAAAATTTCGATTTTTGATTGCAATAAAAAATCTTTCAAATTGTAATGTATAAAATTTGATTCTATCATATTCCCTATTTTATTATTATACCCCACACAACGAGTTGCGGAGGGTATAATGTTTTTGACCCGTCAGTCCTGTTTCTTGTCATCGCAACTCCTCTCAAACCACACAACAGAATTTCACGAAACCTTTTTAGAAAATAAGGACATACTATGTAGTTGTGCATATCGACAGGAAATAAGGATTCAATTCTTTTTCTAGGAGTTACGCCCCTTTGAACTTATTTACTTTTTATTTACTTTAATGTACTACTGCAACCTTTTGTCATCGCAACTCCTCTCAAACCACACAACAGAATTTCATGAAACCTTTTCAGATATTAAGGACATACTAGGTAGATGTGCACATCGACAGGAAATTACCATTCAATTTTTTTCCAGGAGTTACGCCCCTTTTGAACTTATTTGCCCAATATACTACTGCAACCCTTTGTCATGGCAACTCCTCTCAAACCACACAACAGAATTTCATGAAACTGTGAAGATAATAAGGACATACTATGTAGATGTGCATATTGACAGGAAATTATGATTCAATTTTTTTTTTCTGATACAATTTTTTTTTCTTACACTTATTTTATTTCTCCAATGACAATGTGGGGACGTGGGGTATTGAGCGCGCTCACTAAGGTTCTTTCATTGTTTATTTACTGAACAAATTTGTCCCCACATTATTGTATGTGATTGTCGTACAATTATCATTTTGACTGACTACATTGATGTTTTGTTTTACACAATGATAAGTGTGCCAAAATGATTGAAATGTACATTTATATCTTGTTTGTTAGGAAAATCCTGGTATGGGAGACACAGGTATAAATGTTGTGGCAATGATAGCGCAGGCAGTGTAATCAGTTGCAAATATCTTCATATTTATACCCTCTCTCACTTAGATCAACCAGTATCGGTACATAGGTAGCTTATAACTAGACCTTGTCAGTTTGTCAACGCCTCATTGATTTTGATCTCAGTTTATGCTTTAGTGACTAAAGTTTAATATTCTTATAGAATATAGAATATGTAATATAGAAGTAGATTATTTTCATGGGATATATTTCAAACGGAGTGGCCTATTCTTTATGCTCCTGATTATGTTAAGCTCTAGTTGTGTTTTCAATAACTATGCTTGACAGTTTATACATTTTGTGTGCAATCATTGTAAAGAATGCATGTTCTGTTTGCCATTTGTCATGTGATCTTTACCTCATAATCATGCTCAAGTAATCAAGTAGGTTATTTATCATGTCTGTTTCTGAAAAAAGTCTTTTAGACCAGCAAACAATATTTGGTATGTGAAATAATTGTATGTTGTGCTTGTTCATATTACAAATGACACTTGGCCTTGATTTCAATTTGTTTGTTTATTTATTATCAAAGAACATTCATGTCGGTTTTTTTTCTATAACTGTTTGCAAGTGAGGCATTTAAATCTGTAAACTTTCTTTCATTTATTAATTTTAGGATTATGTCCCCTATGGTTCATAAATGAAGACAAGAAAAAGGATTTAATGAAATTGTTTTAAAGTTAAGACACATAGGTGTAAACTGTGCTTATTTTATAGAGTAAATCATTAAAAATTTTGAAAAAAAGATTAAAATTGATAGGACAACTGGTTTAAATATTTTGCTGTTAGAAAAAAATGTGTAGTTGTGAAGTCAAATTTTTGAATGTTAACCATAGAAGTATTTTCCATAAATTTCTGTCCATGAATAGACAAAGATGTTTTCGTTGCCAAAAGTTTGTTCTAGATACATTACAAATATTTGTTCATGTCTTTTGTGTTCATGTGCGGATCTAGAAATTTTTAAAAGGGGGATATAGGGGGTTCCCAGCTTAATTTTCATCAATTGTTTACCTGATTTGAATAATTAAAACTTTTCAGAAGAAAAGGGTTTTCCAACCCCCAGAACCCTTCCCCTTTTTCTGTCTGGATCTGCCAATGGTGTTCAAATGTTACTTGTGTTTTTTTCAAACTGTATGAGGATTTTCTGTCTTTTTAAACGTTTTTACTTGCCAGTTTTATCTTATTTTCTTGTACTAAAAATTATTTTTTACATGTTAGATTTATTTTCTTATATTTTCAGCTGACATAATTGGTCATAAGGTGAAGCGTGGGCTATTGCCTGTCATTATTTGGCATTTTTCATCAACTTTTAATCTTTTTCAAATATTTTCTTTTCTTAAATCTTTGGGTCTATTCAAATGTTTTCATTGTTTGGGGATGAACATTAAAACTTATAAATCAATTTTTCAAGCAAAGTAACATTGCACCCATGACTCGAAGTAGAAGACAGGTATAAAATCAACCAGAATAAATTATTAAGAAATATCATGAAAATACTAATTCCTTCAAACTAAAAATACAAAATTTTAACAACTTTGACTACCCATGAGGGTCTCACTCTATCAGTTATATTTAAGAGGGACATAATTTTGTTACTGTTTTCTCAGGACCTATATAACAGAATGACTTCATATTTGATCAGCAGCTTGACAGTGATAAGTTGCAACTTGTAGCTGTTTTTAGATCTGTCAGACATCTACTTTAGGTTTGCTGATCATTTGATATTCTCTTTTTTAATTTTTCAATATGAAGAACGAAAATATTTGTCACACTTTTCTCAAAAACTACTGATTTTTCAGGATATCAAGGGATTTGATTTAGCAAGGTAAGCAATGTGGACTTCTCCAGCTGACCATTTTTCAAAATTCCTTCTGAAACCAGTGGGTGAACTAGAAACCCCCCCCAAAAAAAAACAACAAAAAATAAAAAAACAAAAATAACACCTTACAGTGGTATTCATCCAGAGAAACCAAAAAAATGTGATCATTAATAATAGAAGCTTGTTTACAGATATATCTGGTATTTTGTTATGTTGGTTATTGAGAAAAGTAGGTTATATCTGCTTTCTTTGTTTAATAAATGCAATTTTGCATTCCATAGAATTGTATGCTCACTATTTGCACATATATATTGTACGGTAGCAAGGTAACAAAGTGCAGTATTTATGTTTTGTAAATATAGATTTTTAAAAAGTATCATGACTTATATTGTATCTCTTTATCAAATCAGGTGCAGATCTAAAGTGAATTAGACTTTTATTGTGGACTTATATGTTGCTCTGCCTTTAGTTTTCTATTTTGTGGTTTGTATACTGTTGTTTGAGTTTTGGTTGTTTTTAGCCAAGGTGTTGTCAGTTTGTTTTCAATTTATAATTTTGAATATCCCTTTGGTATCTTTCGTCTCTCTTTTATAGATTTCTGTTTTGGGATTTTGTCAACTGTTTTATGAATATTATATTAGGTTAAGTACTTTTCTGACTGTCTTTAATTGTACATTCTTCTAATTTACCTTTTTGTTATTTGCAAACATGTGCATGTCCTAGATCAGAAACTTTGTTCGTGGTTGTAGATTCTAGGTCAATTTTTGTATTCTGGTCTTTCATTTTTAATTATGTGCTTTGTCTATATGCCATTTTGTTTTTCTTTGTTGACATATTTGTTTGTTTTTATAGTGATTAAGATTATAACACAATGTTGACTGCTGTACCCCTAGTTTTGACATTTTTACCTATTATGTCTGTTTGTTTTGTTCACACATTGTTGTCAATATAATGGAATTTTATGTGACTGTCATACAAGTGAGAGGTTTAGCTAGCTGTAAAATCAGGTTTAATCCACCATTTTCTACATAAGGAAATGCCTGTACCAAGTCATGAATATGACAGTTGTTTTCCATTCGTTTGATGTGTTTGAGCTTTTGATTTTGAAATTTGATCGGGGACCTTCCATTTAGAATTTTCCTTGGAGTTCGGTATTTTTAATATTTTTCTTTTTTCATTGGTGATGGAGGCAGATCTTGGGTAGTTTTTGTTAAATTAATTAATTTTCCTGGACTAATGGCAATTAAATAGTCTGATATATATAATATAGACATTTGTTGAAGATCCTATGTTGGTCTATACATGCTGTTCAGTCAAGAAATATCACAGAATATCAAACATAAAGATGCTATAATTGAAATTACATTATCTATTAAGAAAAACTATATATTTCAAAGGTAGAATGGATGGAAAATATATATTTGTTTACTAATGCCTCCATGTCAAAATATTTTGCCTTGCATATGTCCATTGTCCTTGAACTCATTTCAAGAGTCAATGACTGCTTAAACTTCCCATATTTTACATGGTCTTTTCATTCACTATTAGTGATCAACTATATATGGTTTATAAAATCATTGTAAGATGTACACATAGGCTAGACAGGGTTTAACTGATTTTTACTTTATTTTCTTGGTTCATTGATCAATGTTAAGTTTTATCAGATCAGATGGATTTCTCATTTACTATAAATCATAGGTCAACTATCTCTGATCTGTAGAATGATGGTAAAGTTAACATGTTTATTTTATAGAACTGCTTCATAATACATAAAAAGAATTCCATCAAACCAACATATTAAACATCACAACAAATCACACTAACCACATACACCAATTTTTCGTGGATTGAGGGAAATGTGTATTTTCGTATATATTTGATTCTGTGGTTTGGGCAAAATCTGCTTACAAGCCCATAGATAATTGTCACTTCGTTGAACATCTAAATGCCTGTTTTACCTATACCCACGAAATCCACAAAAAAATGGTATCCCACAAAAATAAATGAAGTGTCAGCTTTTTAACATTTTTAATCGTTCATTTTTTAAAGATTTGAACATCAGTTAACTACTGTTGCCTTAATTTATCTCCTTCATATTATTATCAGTCATCTTTGATTATATGCAATTCATTATGTGGGTGGCAATCATCTGTACTTAGCTACAACAATTTTGATATGTCAAAAGGCTTACCATCTGGTGTCGATATCTAGCTGTAAATATTCACAGCAATTATGACAAATGGGAAGGATTGCCTTCTAGGGATCTTATCTTTTGGTCATTCATGTGCCCTTTGTTACACAAATTACCATTTGGTGCTCATATATGGCTGTAAATCATTAGAT